CCGCTGTGCCACCAGGGAGGGCCTATAATAGTTTATTTTTAATCATTTTGTACATTTTTTTTTTCATCTCAGTTGTAATCCCCATGGGTTTCCCATCACCAAATCACCCATGTGCCATCACCATAGTCCTGTTCACTTCCCTCTCCCCACCACCCCCTGCCCCACGTTCTGTTTTTTAATCCATCCTGCAATTCTGTGTCTTTTTACTGTTGAGTTTAAACCATTTACATTTAGAGATAATATTGATACACTGGCACCTACATTTGCCATTATGGTCCTTCTGTATTTTTATTCCTTGTTTTGAACTGTTCTTATTCATTCTTCTGTTGGATTTGGTTTGAGGGCTTCTTGTAGTATTTTTTGGAGTGGGGATTTAGTCATGACAAAATTGTGGAGTTTCTGTTTGTCTGAGAATGTCCTTATTCTTTCTTCATAGAGGAAGAGCTTCACAGGGTAGAGTATTTTTGGTTGGCATTTAATGCTTTGGAGTTTGTTGAGTATGTCCCTCCACTCTCTTCTTGCCCGTGTTTCTTCAGAGAAGTCTGATGTCATCTGGATCGGTTTCCCTTTATAGGTTATTTGTTTCTTCCCTCTTGTCATTCTCATTGTCTTTTCCTTGTCTTGTAGTATTGGAAGTTTTATAATAATATGCCTTCCTGTTTTTTTCCCTCTCATCATGGTAGTTTGGTGTTCTTCTTGCTTCTTGGATGTCTACTTTCATCTCCTTCTTCATGTTAGGGAAGTTCTGTTATTTCTGTGAATATTTTCTCTATTCCTTGGCCTTTCTCTTCGCCTTCTGGAATACCTGTAACTCTGATGTTTCCTTTCCTAATGGTGTCAGATAGCTTTTGAGGTGTTTCTTCATTCCTTTTCCTTTTTACTTCTCTTTCTTTTTCTTTTTTAATTCTCTTTGTTTCTGTGTTTTCGAAGGTGCTGATTCGTTCTTCCATTTCATCTATTCTGTTTTCATTACTTTTCCCAGCCTTCTTTATCTCTTCTAGTGGCCTTTTCATCGCCTGCATTTCTTCTATTTCCTTTTTTAATGTCTCATTTTCTTTCTTCAGTTCATTGATTGCTTGTCTTGTATCTTTTTCCTTTCTTTCATTTTTTGATTGCATTCTTCAACTCTTTGATGGCTTGCCTCATTTCATTTTTTTCCTTCTCATTTTCTTTTTGTTTGTTCATCATGATGATTCTGAATTCTTTATCTGGTAGGCTGAGCCATTCTTCTATTTCTTTGGTGGTTTCTGCTGACTGATCTTTTTGTGGTGAATTTTCCCCCTGTGGACTTGCTTGAATATTTTTCTTCTTTTCCCTGTTGTGTATTTTCTAATTGCTGAGACACAGTGTTGCTATTACTGACCAGCTTTTTTTTTTGGATGTTCTTTCTGGAATGGCTGAGGGACTTCCAGACACTTCAGTTGTGGAGGGTATTCAGAGTTATGTTATTTTTCCCAGCCCCCACTGTGTGTAATTGTGTCTGTTATCTCAGCTGGTAACAGTCAGGGATCTCTTGTGGTGTTCAGCCTCTTCTAGTAACACGTTGAGTATGTGTTTCTGGAAGCTGTCTGTTGATCTTTGTAGCCTTTGGATGTCCCAGGTTCCCTCTATGCTTGGTGTGCCCGTGGTGGGTATGATGTATTAGAAGTGTTGTAGGGCTCCCTGGAGCTGGGCTTGTGGCTGAGTTGGTGGCTGGTTTTATTTACTCTCTGAAGTACTGTGAGCCTTTCTGGCTCTGCTGTTGGGGTGGGATCTCCCCCTCCCCACAGGAGTGCAGGAGTGCCAGAGGGCTGAAATCCTCCCAGCTGAGCAGGCTGCCAGTCCTCCCTCTGAGCTTTCAGGGCTCTCTGTGTCTAATCCAATCAGTCACTCCCTGAGCAGTGCCTCCCCACTGCCTGAGGTCCTCTCACAGAGCCCAGCTGTATTTCTTTAACTCCAGGGTTTTACCACAGTTTTTGTGGATAGATGTGGTAAACAGGTAGAACCTGTAACAAGTCTCCCCGTTTGAGGCACTTTCTAGAGTCTCTTTATGTTGAATGTGCCCATGGAAGATTGTTAAAGTTGTTGCATTTTCCTAGGATTGGGCCTGTGGTTGAGTTCTGTCTAACCGTTTTTTTTTTTTCCTTTTTCTTTTCCCCCCTCTTTGACTCAGGGGCTTTGTGAGTCTTGCTGACTACGCCTTAAAAATGGCACCAAGACCTGACCAAACCCTAATGTTCCCTAGTCTCAGTTCTCTGTTTTGGGGGCAGGAGATGTGGGTAGGGCTAGAGGGGCCCCAATTGCCAGTTCCTCTTCTCCTCTTCTCTTCCGGGTTCTAAGTACAGCAGTTTTGTTCCCCTCCCCGCGCGCTTCCCCCCCTCCCCCCAAGCAGCTTGGGATCCACTCACCTAGCTGTGTTGTCTCAGTTTATATCCAAGGCTTTGTTGGGGCTGCTGGGGCAAAGAACGGCAATGCATCTGTGGTGGCGTATCCTAGCATCTGGCACTCCTGGTTCCAAGCTGCAGTCTTTTCCTACAATTTGGTTTCCTCTCCCTGGCAGGATTGTCTCAGTTTATCACCAGGGCTGTAGCAGTGCTGGGGCAAAAAGCTGTTGCTGCTATGCAGTGCAGCAGCAAATGCCATTGCTGTCAGTCTCTCTGCAGTGATTTCCTGACTGGTGCTTCTGGTTAGGAATTCCCTTATGGGAATTCCCCAATCTCCAACTCTCCCTCAGGTATCTTCCTTCTAGTGAGTCCAGGGCATTCTCATTTGGTTGAAACTCATTGCATGTAAGTCTATAGTCCATTTTTATATATTCCCATGTGAGCTTGGATGTAGTCATCTTGGCGTTCTTTTACTCCGCTGCCATCTTGCCCGTTTCAGAGCTGGTCGAGCTGGTCCGTCAGTGGCATTGTGCAGCTCCCAGGTACTCCAGATCGGGTCTGCAGTTTCATTGGTTTTCCCCTGTACCTAGGTGTTCTGATCAGATTTGCAGTCTTTCTTCAGCCTGGGCTTCACTCATTGAGCCATCCCCCTTCACCTCCAGGGCTTTAGTGTGGGACAAAGCAGCTCCTGCAGCCTTTCAAACTTCCAGGTGCCTGGGCTTTCCTGGGAGTTCCCTTATCGGAACTCCCCAATCGCTGATTCCCCCTCAGTTATCTACCTTCTACTGAGTCCAGGGTGTTTTCATTTGGGTTGAAACTCGTAGTATGTAAATCTATAGTCCATTTTCAGTCCTCAATTCCTGTGCAAGCCTGAATGCAGTGATCTCGGTGTCTTTACTCTGCTGCCATCTTGCAGCATCTTGTTCTTTTTTTTTTTTAGATTTATTTATATATTTGTGCATACAGAACTGGGGTATAGGCCAGAGGTGCAGGGGTGGCAAGAGGATTCACCAGAGACAGAGTGGGGAGCAGAACAGGCAAATGATCAAAGTACACTGCTGAGGGGAGCAGCGGGCGGGTCAGGAGAGGTCTGCCATGCCATGTGGTCACCTCGGGGGCAGGGGGTGGTGAACTCATGGGGAAGTAGCTTTCGATTCTTAGTGAGGTGCTTTATCCTGCTGTGCCACCAGGGAGGGCCCATTGTTCATTTTAAAACAATGTTTGCTTTCTTTTCTCAGCTATAGACCTCATAGAATTTCTACTATTCACCCATGCACCATCACCACAGCCCTTTATGTCCCTCCTTCCCTCCCTAGTCCCAAACCCTCTCTCTTCCCCTCCCCAGCAGGATGTCTCTGGTTTATAAATTGTTTTTGTTTTGTATTGTTATTATTTTTGCCCCTGATGCCTTATTTGATTCTTTTGATTAGTGAAGCATCTGATACTTTTCTTCCTCTGACTTTTTTCAGTGAGCATAATTCCTTCCAGCACCATCTATGTTGCAGCTGCGAATGCCTTTAGTTTATCTTTTTGATTGCTAATAGTATTCCATTGTATATCTATACTACATCTTCTTGATCCAGTCATTTATTTTTTGACATTTGGTTTGTTTCCAGCTTTTACCTATTGTAAATAGTGCTGCAGTAAACATAGGGGTATGGGCATTGGGTATTCTTTTGAATCAGTGTGGTTTTTGTCCTTTGGGTAGATTCCTAGGAGTGGAATTGCTGGGTCATGGGTTAGCTCCATTTTTAGTAGTGTGAGGAACCTATATACAGCTTTCCATGGTGGTTGGACCAGTTTGCACTCCCACCAGCAGAGTAGGAGATGAACTGTGACCTTTTTGGAGATGTTGTGTTAGGCTCTTTCTTCTCCAGTCTGATGTAACAGGTAGTCTTAATCCAAGACCCACTCAGATTCAACAGTCATTATAAGGCAGACAGATAATACCCAGACTACCAATAGTAACATGACCACATGGCTTGGGTGTTTATATTTTTGGCTTTTGTTTCTTTAAACTTAGGTATTAAAATTGGGTCCACTTCCTCAGTCTCTTTCTCAGATAATTTCTAACCTCATGCTGCCTTTGCCTTGCAGCTTCCTGGTGATGATATGGCATCTGCCAGCTCCAGCCGGGCAGGAGTGGCCCTGCCCTTTGAGAAATCTCAGCTTACTTTGAAAGGTGAGTGGCACTGGGTAAAGTGTTTATTATTTGAGGTCCAGCCAGACTATGGAGACAAGGTGGAATTACACCACACCTTAGTCTGTAGAGTCACAGTTTTTAAATAACTGAAGATTAAACCTATGTCAGATCATAGCTGGGATTATTGAAGAAGAAGGAAGAAAGGAACTTTGGCAAAAGCTGTCTAAAATGTTGATTCTGTTACACCCTAGGCCGGTTTCCTCTCTACCCTTACTCCCTGGGTGATATCCAACCTCGTGCTTCATTTATTTTTTATTTTGAAGATTTATTTATCTATGCTTACAGAGCTGGGACACAGGCCAGAAGTACGGGAGGTAAGAGGATTCGCCAGAGACAGAGTAGGGAGCAGAACAGGCAGATCTACTGAAATACAATGCTGATGAGGGGAGCTGTGGGCGTGTCAGGAAAGGTCTGCCATGCCCCACTTCGTGCTTTAAATGCCACCAAGAGAAGTTCACTACCAAGTTTGCATTTCTAGCCTACTTAACTGTGGATTAGTACATCTGGTAACCCAGTTGTCATTGCCACTTGAACCTTTAATAAACTTTTAATATGTCATGTGTCTGGACTGAGCTCCTGATATATCTTTCTCATATCCTTATATTTAGCCGGTTAGCAAGTCTGTGATTATCTGCAGAATGTGCTCAGCCTTTAGCCATTTGTACCATTGTCTACATGCTACTCTGGATTAAGGCGATAGTCTGCTACTCTGGATTAAGGTGGTAGTCTCCTAACCCAATTTCTTGCTTCTACCTTAGTCTTCCTTCCTTTTCTTGGTCACTCAGCAGTCAGTGGCCCCATGAACTGGAATCTAGTTACTGTCACTCCTGTACTCAAACACTCAAGGCCTCTCTATCTCACTCAGAAGAAAAGTTGAAGCTTCCATATGATATGATCCCTTATTTCCATCTTGGATTAGTTACTCTTCCACATTTACTCTGCTCTAGTCACATGCTGACCATGGACTAACCCAGGCACACTCCTACTCCTGAGTGTATTGTTTTGAGCCCAGATATCTACCTGATTTGCTTTCATTCCCTTTTTGAGTTCATTATTTAAAAGTCACCCCTTTTACAGTATGCCGAGCAATTAAAAGCATCTGTTTTTGGGCTTTGGGATTCCTTAGACCTTGACAATGAGTATGAAAGAATTCAATGCAATGTTTAGGAAAGGCAAAGCAAACTTTATTAGAGACAGTGAAAGTATGCCTGGGAGTAGGTCTGGGCAGGCAGAATTCAGGGAAGTACAACTGCCTGGAGAGGTGGTGAACCCCTGGCTTAAATGGGGTGCAAGAAGCTGCTCACTTTGTCCCTTCCTGGGGTCTCCTGTAGAGGTGCTCCTGGGGTGTTGGTTTATCAGTCTGGGCAGTAGTTTTTTTTTTTTTT